ATATACATAATGCATTTAAGATAGTTAAAATACATTAAACTATGTCTATTATTGTAATATAAATTTTATCTTTTTAAGGAAACATTATAATGCATTGAAGAGTCTCTTGTGGCAATGTATTAAGTCTCAAAGGGAAAATGTGTATTATACACATGCATTTAATTATCTGAAGAAAATACTCGATAAATTACATGCACTATCAAATGCAAAAGATGGAAATATGTAAGTTATAAGCAATTTAAAATTGTAAACTTAATTTTACTGTGAATATCCTTGCTTTCTAGATCTGTTGTCTTTGAATTGTGGCTTGTCTTAGCAGACATATTAACAAAATATATGGATGATATACAAGAAATTAATGAAGGAACTACTACAGAACATAATTTAAGTACTGTTGAATCTATTGTAATATTTCCGTTTATGTATATACATCTAGAGGATCAAAAGCAGGTTAATTTCTCTATATTATATAATTCATAATTCCAAAATATTATATAGAATTTTAAGCGTGGTAAATTACTTTTGTTTTAATATTCGTGGTATTTCTATTAGGTTCAAGAATTAGCAAAGGCTTGGAAATATTTATACCGACAGTTTGAAATGCGAACCGATCTTATAACAACTGTAAAATCTAATGAAATTTTATTGAATGTTGCAACCACTATGCAGCATTGTTTAACAGAAAATGATAAATCTTCTTACCTTACTATATATTGTTTAGATATTTTGTTAGGTACTATTAACTACAAACTTTTAGTGGGTATGTCAACAATACAGTTTATAAGAAACAATATTTATAGGTACATGAGGTAAATATTCAATCCTTAATTTATTTTTCAGCACATACAGAAGTTCCATCTATTATATATCTTCTTGTGGATCTCATAAAATGTTTTTTATCTAATAAAAATGTTAAACATTGTGAATCTGCTCTTAAAGCACTGTCAGCAGTAATTATTACTATATATGGGCACAATCCAGAAAAAGTGACACCATATCTGCAAGTTTGTAAGCCAGCTATTGAACTCATACTCCATACTGAAATAGAAGCACTATACAAAGAAGTATATATACGTTTTCTTTTATATTAAAATATAATTATTTTAAAATACTAAAATGTTCAATTTTTTACTTGTAGGTAGCAAGTACATGGGAAAGTCTAATTACTATTTTCAAAGGACTCGGTAAAATAATAGATTATGATCTTCTTTCCTCTTATAAAAAAGTAATTATCCAAGCTTTAAGTCATCCAAATCTTGACATACAAATTCAAACAGTATCACTTTTTGAATTACATAATGTGTTAAGTGGTAGTACTAAATTAATATTAGAAGAAATAGAAAAAGAATCAGGGAGAACTAAACTGTTACGTAAATCCGATATGACAAAAAAGAAAAACGATCAAATTGTAAAATTACCAAATCAAGTAAAAATAGTTGGTAGCATATTAAGAGGATCTAGTAGTCCAAAATTTGTAACTAAAGAAATGGATAAAAGTGACAAGAGACTATTAAACGATTCTGATTCGCAGGTAAATACATATGTACTTATATGATAATTTGATCATACTTCTTAACTTAAACATATGAAACAATTGCTTATGTGCGAAACTTATTCTTTTCGTTAAAGTTATTAAGTTTCGTTTTTTTACAGGATTATGTTTTCATCAAAACAGATTTAAAATTTGATGTTAATCGTTTGACAGAACATCAAAAAGAATCTTTAAAACGTAGAAGAGAAGATATTCCAGCATTATATAATGATTTGTCACAGTCTTCTTCTCAAGATACTCAAAATTTGCAAGAATGGTTTGATAAAAAGAGCAGAATGTTAGAAGAAACAGAGAAAGGGCATAATGAAAAGGAGAATGTTTCAATACAAAATATATTAGATGATGATGCAAATAAAGAAAATAAAATTGAAAGAAAGGAATCAGAAACATTAAATAAATCAAACGTTGAAAGTGATGCAAAAACAACAGAAAATGTTGGGCAACATGTGTCATTAGAGTCTGTACAAAAAACAAAAGGTAATACAGACAATAATGAAAATTCATTAGCAGAAGGTCAAGTAATAACGACAGAAAAACCTTATGACAATGCAGAAGCGAAAACTTCAGCAGATTTTGTATCAAAAGAGTCAAATTCTAATGCAGAAGAAGAACCATTAGAAAATAAAGATGACCAAAGACTATCTCCATCTGTATTAGATAGTGGTAAGCGACGTAATCGTTCTAGTGTTGCTGTAAGATCTAGTGTTTCACCAAAATCAGAGGAAACTGTTAGCAATCAACCAGGACAATCAAGTGTCAACCAAGTTTTGCAAAGAACTTTAAGAACAAAAGTAATTCCATGTAAGTCTGATATGATTAATAAACAAAAAGCGTTGGATAATGTGGAAAATAAATCGGTTAAAGAGGATAAGAGAGGTGTTAAACGTAAATCAGCTTCGGATAGCGAAAATGAAGGAACAGGTATACGTCAAAGAAGAAAAACTACTTCACTGGATATGAATAACGATAGTGATAGCTGTAAATCTACAGAAAATTGTAATACAGCAATGGATTTAGAAGGAATAATGGATGAAGGGAATTTGAGTCAACGTACTAGAAATGAAATATCTCGTTTGCGTATAAATATGGTATTTGACAGTCCTTTATCAACTTGTCGCCGTTTGAAGGGTCAGGAGGATGTTAATAAAGACACTGTTAATAAAAAGCAATCACCTGAAAATAGAAGTGCTAAATTAAAAGTTGCAGTTTCAGCAGTAGGTGATATAGTAAAAAAACTTCCAAAACTTAATGACAAGGAGTTAAATAGCCTTTCAAAAAACAGAGGCAGACCGCCAAGAATGAAAAAAGTAGAAAAAAATATTGAAGCTAGTAAACCTGGAGATACCAATAAGACTTTGCAGAATAGAAAGGATGAATTAGAAGAAGAAAATAAAAATGAAGAAAGTGTACAGGCAGAAGTTGTTTCAAAAAGTATATCAGATGATAAATACGATTTACTTGATACTGACGAATATACTACAATTAACGTTGAAACGGTTAATGATGATGAACCAAATAGTGAAACACAAAGCACAAGTATTAATCAAAACGTCAAATATGTTGAAGAAGAAAGTCAGACTGAGGAAGATATGGAAGATATAATAGAAAATTCACAAGAATTGTCTAAATTAGAAAAACAATGTAATGAGAAGCAGTGCTTTATTAAAATTAATAAAATTGAAAAAATTCTTCCTTCAATGAAATGCCCAGATATTACAATTGAGGATGAAGAAGTAGCGAAAATTGTTTCAAATAATTGTGATAATGACAATAACGAAGTTCCTAAGGATAATGTTAAGGAATTTGTGGAAACCAATGAAGTCAATCTAAATGTACCAAAGATTTCGACTCCTATTATTGAAAACAATTCATATGATAGTGAAAAAGATATTATATTTGAAGGGCAGAAAGGAAACGAAGGATCTTCGCTTAAATCATTATTCGAATTTTCGTCACCTAAAGGTAGTATGAAACGTCATATAAAATTCAAAACCTATTCACCAAAAGGACGTGCGGCTCATATGTTAGGATTAGTAACAAAGCAAGCAATGATGGAAGCAGAATGTTATGTTATTAATATAGACGATGAACCTGCTATTAAAAAAGCAAAATCCAAAGACACAGATAATGATGCATTGCTTGCAAAAAAAGAACAAGGGTCTACGTCGAAAGAAACCGATAAAGTAACAGCAACATGTAGTGGTAGACAAGAGAAAATCTTTAGTAATATGAGATCAGTAGATTATTGTTCTTCACCTCCGATAAAATTATTTTCAAATTTGAAAAACGACGGAGAAAAAGTTTTCTCAAAAATAGACAAATCAGTGGATTGTGTATTCTTACAAACTGATGCCCAAACTGACAAAGTGGGTGTAGAATCTCTACTTGAAACAGAGGAATTGCCAATATTAGGATGGTCAAGCGCAAATCCTCCTTCATTAACTGCATCCCCAAGTGCAAGTATATTAAAACGTCAACGTCAATCTATTCCAGAACCTGATCCAGAATCTACAACTCCCAATAAGGTAATTTGTGCGTGTGTGTATGTTTATTATGAGCAAATATTTTTTAACATAATTCAGTTTAGAATTTAATAAACCATATTCTTAATATTTTATTGCAATATATTACATCTTATTGTAGAGAAAAAGAGTAAGCTTTGCAGATCCTCCAGTTTCTAAGGAAATGGGATATGAAATTACGTCTATGGACTCTCCACATAAAGCTAATAAATTTACTTCACGTGGATTACTAATTCGTAAAGATTCGCCATTAAGATTGAAACAAATTAGACAGAAATTGTTGTCTATTGACTCAGATAAGATGGAAAAAGAAGAAGTAGATATAACAAGTGCATCTGAAGTTGATTTGCAATGTGAAAGAGAAAATGAATTATTAACAAAAATAGCTGAAGAATTAGAGTACTCAGAGAATGCTACAACAAACACAGAAGTACAAACATCATGTAATTTTGTAGAAGAAGAGTCAACAAATACAGTTACTGTAGGAGTTAATACAGATAACCAAATTGAAATAGATAATTTAGGTGCTGAGTTTGAAATTACCCAAGATTCAGCGTTTTCTAAGCAGGTGGAATTAATATCTGGCAATAAAATAGATCAAAATGAAAGAAATGAAATCTTAGAAACGTCAAAATGTTCTAATGCTAGTTTAAAAAGTACTAAAATTGATGATATGGTAACACAAGAAGATATATTTACTGGAGTAGATGAGAAACATAATGATTATGTTAAAGTTACAGAAGCTACTTCTGATGCTGATACAAGTAATGTACAAAACACATCTATTGCAAGTACTTCACTAGATTCTCTCCAATTCAATATTACAAATGATTCTATAATAGAACATTCATCAAAGAAACATGTAAATTCTGAAACATTGGAGGATACAGTAGATGCTGCAAACCTTACTGATTTGAATTCTTCTGCAAATTCAGAAGAAATTTTCTGTGGAAAATTAATAAGAAGTAGTACAAAAGCAGCAGAGAGTGTGCAGGAACAAGATACACTACCAGTTACAGATTCCGTTTTTGGAAGTTTGCCTTTAAGTCAAGATAGTCAAATTACAAGTGATTTTAATGTGGAAATGTCACATCCAGAATTATTGGATTCTTTGTATCCCATATATCCTACATTAATATTGTGCGAAGAACCTATATCATCTATTATTGAACAATTAACTAATCCTCTTTGGGTACAACATTTATCTAAATATTTTACAGATAGAAATGTTCGTACCATTAGTGATCTTGCACGATTATCTGAGCGTGAAATAAATAGAATTCCAGTAAAGGGTAATTCGAAAATTGAATTTGTAAAAAGTGTTTTAAGATCCTTTGAGAAAACATATGCTGCAAAAGAAATGAGTAATGTCAAAGAATTTTTAGATGAAGTTTTAAATCACAAAATAGGTTGTTCTATAAATACTAATGTACCTGCTTCTATGCTGCTAAGTGAACCGAGTTCTAGTACAGTTTTTGTCAATGTCCCTACAGCCGACAGGAATAATGAGACGTCTACGACAGCGATAGAATCCAATATAAACGTCTCTAACATTTATCCACGAATACAATACGAATCTGCTACACAAACAACTATTTTGCCTGATTTTACTCCAGTCTTGATGTCCTCAAATGTGGCTCTTATGTATGTTATCGATAATTCTACATATTTTTTGCTTTACTTGATTTAATATTTACGGTAGAACTTTATATAGCGCAGATTCGTGTAACGCAATGAAAAATTTTATACTTTAAGTTGTTTTTTCATATTAAGTGAATCATTTTTTTATTTAATTTAAATATATTATGTACTTTGTTTAATAAAATATTTTTTTTTTTGTTTAGACAAACTGTAAATGTACCAATATTGACTACGGCAAACTGTACACTAGAAACTATTACCGGAAATACAAATTCTTGTACTACAAGTGCAACTGGAATAATGCCAATAAGAAAAAGTGTTGGAACTTGTACTAGTAGTGATTCTATTTATCTGTCAAAAACAATAGTGAATAAAGCGACAAAATCTGTCGCAGCACAAATGGCTTTAGAAGATCTGTTGGATGAAATAGATGTTAACTTGGTGTTAGAAAGTGCAGCTAGAAGATGTACTCCCGACAAACTTCTTATACAGTATAAGGTAAATATGTATGTATACATATAGTAAAAATCCTGCATCCGCGGAGATAGGTTCTAAGATCTTTTGTGGATACCTGAAACTGCAGATATGGGGGTTTCACTGTATTTTATAGATGAATTTATAATACTGACCAAACTCAATAAGTATTTATATAAAAGAGGTAAAATTAAATTATATATTTTTACAGAACAAAATGAGACATGTACCACAAGTGGAACTAGAAAGTGAAACCATAAGAATGCTTGGTGTTGAAAACAGAAACAATTGCAGTGAACAGACACTGAAGGCAGCCTGTCGTGCTTGTGGAGCGAATAAAGTTTTACTTCGACTACCCGATATTTTCTGCGCTGATAAACAGTTTTTTGTGAAAGTATTGAATGCCTACAGGAAAAAGATAAGGACCAGTGATTGCATGAATATCCTCGACTTTAACGAAGTTAAGGATGCTGTTTATCAAAAATGCACATCTTCAGAATTGGCTGAAATGTTATCCAAGAAATTAAAAGAAGAAGAACAACAGGGAATAAGAACGCCTATGACAGAATTGTCTAGCTTGGACGCTATGTTGAAAAGAATGCCAGTGGACGTAATCATTAGCCATACAGTGGCAAATGATGAATTAATACCATCGCCGGTCGTTTTAGATATAGCTTTGCAAAACAATAGCCCCAGTAACATTGCACAGGCTTTGGAATCTCAATCTTCTCCTGTTACAAAGAATGTTTTTGATAAACTTTGGTCTTCCCAATTTGCAGTTGAGCACATTGACCAATATAACATATCCAAGGAAGATTTATTGAAGATCTTTAAAGCAGTTTGTTCGAAGATTAATACACAAGATCTTTTGCAAGCGTTCTACGAATCCATGCACCTTAAATTAATGGTAAAGCAAGAGAAAGACTAAAATTTTCGTTTGTAATTACGGATTAGATCGTGATCCGCTTGTATGATATTTATTAATATAATTTGTAATTGTAGATTGATTTTCGACCGTATACTTGAAATTGTGACACGTATTATAATTTTCTTTATTTCTTCAACAAATTTTCGCGAAAAAAATCTTTTAATGGTATTACGTTGCGATGTGGCATTCGTTTACGTTAAGATGTAGAGCATATTTATTCAAAGAACTATTGTTTTTTTCCCGAACAGACCAAATGTGTCTGTTACATATTATATTTTCACGTAATTTTCATTAGTGAAGAAAGTTTTGTGTTTTATTTAAATCTATTTGTGTATGACCAATTTCATTGAGGTAGTAAACTTATATTCAGGATTATTTGTTTCATTTGTTTTATAACATATTGCTTCAAAATTTTGTATTTTGCAACTATTACACATACAATAAGCCCAATTCCAACTAAAATATCTGTTTTATTAATACTTCATAACCATAATTTTAAAAACAGAAGAATACTTTCTTTTAATTATACAGGGTGAATCGCATAACTTGTCCATCTCGTATAACTTATAAAATACAGTGGCGTGCAAAAGTTTCCGGCCAGTTCGTTTTACAAAGGAAGTAACATTAGTAACTTATATTATAACAATTTTTTAATAAAAAATTCAAGGTCACCTTGATATCTCTTAAACAAATAGGTTATTTAAAAAAAACCGTTCTAGCATTATACGTTCTCTTCAGTACCGTGCAATGTCTATATAAAACACTTTTTTTTTATAAAAGATATACTTTAGAAGTTATTTGGGGTGGACAAATTATGTGACTCATCCTGTATAATTAGTAATTCACTTATATAGGAAACAACATTTAATTAAACATATAAATATACATGAATATGTGTTTAACTAATATTTCATTATTTCTTTTTCCTAAAGAAAACTTGTCATTATAAGTAGTAGTCACGACACTAGTTTTCTCTTGGTGCATCAAAACAAAAGTATTTTATTCCAGTTAAAGTTAACTAATATCAATAATAACATTAATTCCTGCAACTTATTAATTTACACAAACTTCTTAAACAAATCATACATGTAACATATATTATTTTTTAAGCATATAATGTAAATATTACACGCGTATATCAAATATAATAGTAACTATTAAATAATGTTAATAATCAGTTCGTTATCTATTAGTTACTGCATTGTTAATTCGTTTACAGCAGACATCCCAGTAGAGGATCAAATATAAATGCTTACCATCCGTTGTTTGTTTCTAAATCAAGACCCAATTTTCGAGACTCCGTTTTTTTATGAAATCTTTTGTTTCATTAAGAGAAAGAAAAAAAATGTTTAAAACAAAGTTAAAAATTGTATTCAAAATTTGTGATTTTAGTGTAAGGAATGTCTCACTCGCACTTTAAAGTACTTTGCACAGACTAGTACTTCACAAGTTACACATTTAAGTAGAACTTTTTTTTTCATATAAAAGTGAAAGAATATTGTATACATTTTGCGGTTTTTTTAATGATTTGGTGTTAACAATAAAAGAAAAATGAGATCAAAATAGTTCAGACAGTCTACTTTCAATTGTGAATTCACCAAAAGTCAGGGACAACCAAGTTTGTACTTTATTTTGAAATTTTGTAACATGTACAATGTTCAAACATTGAACTAAGAATACATATTGCTGGTATTAACCATATTCTGCACAGTAAAGTTTGTGGAATCTCTTTTTACTGACCGTGTCAAAATTGTTTTAAAGAAGTTTGAACACCCCAACGTTAGATAATTTGTGAACATAAAAACTGTTACCACTTGTGTGTTAGAATCTTGATGTCGTTGTTGATTGCTACTTAATTTTTATCAATTCATTGTGTACATGCGTAGAAAATTTGTTTGTCGAAGACACTTTCAGTGCCATGAGACGTTTTATTTGCATTGAACATCAAACCAATTTTGAGTAATCAAACTTTTCAATTGAGATGTTACGTACTTTGAAGAAGTTGTACATATGGCATACACAAGTATGGGATAAAAAATTATTCATCATATCGCTTTAACAATGATAAAAAAAAAAAAGTATACAAAGAAAAAAATGTATGCATAAAAAACAAATATTGAATATACAATGATAAATGGTTAAACGACTATTGCTTTACTATTGATTGTAAGAAACGATAAGCTTTAAATATTAGAGAAGTAAGCCATTTTTATAACGTTCTGAAGATATGGTAACGATATGTTTAATCGTCATAAGCACATGTTAAGATCGACGTACGAGTGCCTCGAAGGAATAAATAACTGCATTTCTGGAGATTAACATTTCACTTCATGACGAACAAAATATAATAATAATAATAATAGTAATAATAATAATTTTCCCATAAGTGAACATTTACATAGGAATTAAACGATTAATGTTCTTCTTTTTAGTATGTCTAACAACACCTTAGCAACTTAAGTAGATGTTTAAACAGCTTACGTATTATTTTTACGTTATGTTTCTTCGAAGCGTAGAATCATATTTCTTTTCTCCATTTTTATTGAACATATATACGTATGTTTTGGAATTAAGCTTTTTCAATACGTTTGAACTTTTTTTTTTTTTTTAACGAGAATGTATGCAAAAAAGAAAACAAAGAGACAATTCGGAAATTGTTATTATTTAACGAGAGGACTTTCCCGACTAATCCGAGCGATTATGTCGAAATACGTAATTTTATAAATCGTAACGATGAATTTGAAAAATTTTCATTTGTGATCAAAATAATGTTTATTTATTCGTGTATACATCGTTTAAATTTATTTACGTGTACGTTGTTCAAATTTATTACAGAAACCGTACGTTTATTTGGATACTTTTTTTGGTGAAATAATCAACTTAGCCGTATTTATAAACGATTTTAATGGAACTTTAACCAACACTCTACAGGTTTTCTTAAATCCTAAAATAACAGAACAAAATAATGACAAATTATACAATAGATTATAAACATGCCCAGTGTAACCTAATAAATAACAGTTGTGTGACCTGTAATAATAAATCGATATTTTATACAGATTGATAAGGTACAATAAAGAAGTTTTATAGTCCTCGTTGTGTGTTTTATTTGAAAACGTTCGAAAATATTTTTTCTTGCTTTTAATTATTTTAAGTACTTAGATAGGTATATAAGAACGGTCCGTAAACCTAGTGTTAAAATAGATAACGTGATATCTCAAGGCAAATCATTTAATTTTTAATGAAAAATCGAAAATGGCTTCTTGAAACATGCACTCTGTACGACTGTGTTGTAATGATTATGGAAGAAAGAAGAGAAGGCAATTAAATTTAGAAAAGCAAAAAGAATAATTTTATTGTATTTTATAACGTTAGAAAATAAAAATATGTTTCATTTTGCTTTGTTTTTAAGTAAAAGGTTAAAGTTAACAAGTTTAAATGGAAAATTAAAAATGTTTCGAAATACACGGTGATAATTTTTTATACAGAGAGATATCTGCCCCCTAATTTCCCTATATATATTTTACAAGACTATGGTTACGTGATCGGAGCGTCGTCCTGGTCGATCCTTCTACGCTTAAAGAAAATTTTTTACAACCACACGAGGAATTTGAAAGTCTATCCGGATTTTCTTCCATACCGTCTCATAATTCTTCAAATTTTATTTCTTTTCCTAATTATGCGACACTGTGCGTTAAACATAGTTGTTTCGGAGCCGCGAGACTCGATATCGCCCTTTTCGATGTCGCGCGTTTCGACGCCGCCCGTTTCGATTCCGCCCGTTTCGATGTCGCGCGTTTCGATGCCGCGCGTTCCGGCGTTTCGACGGATATATGCCAATATCGCCATATACAAAAGTAAGCCAAAGCTAAAGGTATTGTCACTAAACACTAAGCATAGATCTGTAAAATTAAAAGACAAAAACAAACGCATCCCAGAAACAATTGTACGTTACAATAAAGACCAAGTTTGGAGTAGACGTAGTTGATCAAATGGCGCGGAAATATGTAAATATATATCTCATAGTTTCATTTATAAGTTAACAGTGTATAATTACGTTGTTTTCCAAAGAAAATGTATAATTTTGTTCATGCGTCAAATTGACCCGTGTCCGTATAAGTAGATTGACAATTAATCATGTTCAATATCATTTCCAGCAACTAAACACTAATTGTAAGCTATTGTTCGACAATTAATTTCTTTTGTTTTGGCGATCAAATTTAAATTTCACATTTTTAAGTAAAAAGTATTGAAAACTGATTTTTCTTTTTTTCTGTAGATAACAGACTTTTAGTTGTACTAAAAAAATGTCCATTTTTAGAAGTGATTCGCCATTAATATTCAAAAATAGATGCACGTTATACGAGCCACTACACTTATTGGACCGAAATAAGAGATACCCTTTCAATTATATCGGAAATTATATATTCCCAAAGAAACTTGGATCAAAATACGACGCCCGCTCTTCGACGTCGGATATGCGCGCCATATCCTGGTTCTCCTAGCACGTGTAATCGATACATGAAATACAAAGTACATATTACGTGTTTATTATTCATATTCTTTTCTTTGTTCCGTACGAGTGAAGAATGAAGGAGAGAAAAATTAGGTTTTAGTGAAAAGAAAATTTTAGTTATTTAATGCTACTTGTAATTTAATTTTCTCTCTCAGAGTTCTAATCGTTTTCCTACTTTTTAACAATTTGAATCATCCACCTTTTTTTTTTTTAATCTATCGTGAAAATACATGTAATTAATAAGAAGTGATAAAACTGATTATAGACTTCGTTTTTGTGGATTTTAATTGTACCGATACGTAAACCGGGCAGCTCTCTTTTACGTATAAAATGATGTCCTTAAAATTCGAAATAAATGTGAAAAACTATTAAAACTAAAGTAATAATTTAATTTAACATATGCGAATGTTAACATTATGGAAATTAATTTGTTCCTACAATTTTCGAAAAATTCTTTTCAGTTTTACCTCAATACACGAACGTCGTAGTTTGAAAGTATCGATTACTTCTCCACGCAGAGATGTCCATTCTTCATTTTTGTCTTCGATAAATAAACTCAACGAAGATAACGGATTTAGACAAAATTTTAAAGAATTTAAAATTCGAAAAGTAGAAAATGAAAATTCCTACTGATCGACAGAATGAATAAAAAAATTCGTTGAGAGAAGATGTTTCGCCCTGTACAACGATTGTCGACATTTCAAGATTTGAATTCTCAACGTGGTGCAATAAAATGTTACGATAATCTTGGTACTTCTAATATATCATCATATTTGCATCGAGCCTGTGATGCTTCTAACTAAACGATTGCTTCATCAAACGGTCATTATACGATTAAGGGTAGCGATAAGCAGTTTAATTACTCCGCTTATTATGGCTGCGTTTACAAAGGGAGTGTCGTCAAATGAATAGGAGATGCTTTAAAACTTGTAATGAAAAAACTCGTTTCATAAGGAAGTTTCTGCTTTTGGCAGTCAAACATTCTTAATATGTTGTCGTTAAATAAACAAAAAAAGAAAAAAAGAAAAGAAGCAGCATAATGAAGTATTTTGTGGTATCTATAAAAAGAGATTAAAAGGAAATGTTTCGAGGCTTAAGAACACTATGCTTTGCAAAGACGAAGCAGTTTCGTATTCTTGACAGAACTCTCGTGCGAGTAAAAAAAAGTCAGGAAAAATAATTAGCGGAGAAATGAAAACACCGATTTAATCACTCTCTATGAAGAAAAATCAGTGTTGTGGAATACGAATGACAAAGTATAAAGGAGTGATTTTTATATGTTTTTTAAATGACTTTGTTCGCACCTCGTTGGACTCGTCTTAACATACACTATCGTATCATGTATAAAAAGATATAGCATTCCATTTAAAAAAATTATTTATCACAAAAAAAATATTTATACCAGATAATGTCCCCCTCTACGTACCAAACAACTTTTGTTAAAACATTTTTTTACTAACATCACTTCTTCAAAAGATATTTCGCTGTGTTGAGATAAAACAGACACCCTGTAGAATGGAATTTACAATTTTCGGAGAAGATTTGTATTTTTTGGAAACTGACGAGTCTTCTTGTTGTAAATTTAATAGTTTCTTAGAAACATCGATCTGAATTATAAAATTCGACATAAACCTACAGGATGGCCTTTCAGAAACGTCAGTACCTGATGAGCCTTCTCGTCACAATTTTAATCATTTCTCAAAAATATCGATCTAAATAATAAAATTCGCCCCAAGCTAACATAACGACCTAACATACACTTCCATTATCCACTCGGAAACTGAATACTTTCAATCTCAAATTACCTAAAAACAAAAAAGAACAATCTCTCCATCACAAAAAGCAACCGATAGCCCTGGGGTTTCCCCCTTGGAACCTCCACGGTGGTTGAAACGAAGTCTCCGAAGGTCTTTGTCCTCGATTCAATTACCAAGTGTCCTTGACAATGTGACGCACAACAATGTCTATCTCCTCGATGGAGTCGAAATTAACGAGCTCTCTCCTCTTTCTTCAACGGCGTAGCAAAGGGAAAAAAAGGGGGAAGAAAGTCAAAAGTGGCCATAAAGTTTCCGCAGAGAAAATACGAGCAACCTCGAGTATCGTCTCGCTTTCCTGTAGACACGCAATAATCCACGGCATATTAACCGAGTTCTGTTTAAAAATCTCTCTCTTCTATTTTTTTTTTTTTTTTTTCGTTCTTTCTTTCCAAAGTGGTCCACAGGAGGAGGACGAGGTCTGCAGAGCACACGGGATCCATGCATATTGCGTGGTCCACCAGCAGAGAAGGTTTGTGTTGTACAGCGTGTACCATTTGGTGTAGGTGTGCTCTATGGGGGTTGGAACGCGTGCGCGGGGTGATATGAACGCTATATAAGGAAGCGGACCTGCACTCAGCCGGTACTCAGATTTGAAGGAGCGAATCGAGAGGAGGGACGCACTGTGAGAAAGTTTCGGAAAATGGGCCTGACCAGAAACTATCTAGTCAGCCTTTTGCTCTACATTTCCGTCGTCAACGAGATACAACTTCCGCTGGTGAGTTTGCCAACTTTTTTTTAAACCTGTCGGCTATTTCAACGGAGTCGCTCTTATCGAGAGCCGACCTTGTTTCGCGGCAACTTTTCTTTTCATGCGCGTTACACGACGTCGGGGAAAAGTTGGTTTGAGAAAAAGTTGGGAAGATAGGTGTTTCGTTGGAGAATTCTGATATTGCTGGTTGGAAGTTTCTTTCGATTCGTCGTTTTCGGGATTTAGACGTGATCGTTGTCGAATAAACGAGGTATTTTTGACGTTTTGTCGAGAAAGGACGATGTAGGAATGTGTGAAAAATAGATAATTTCAGTTTTCGTTTGGAAGTGTATGTGTATTCATTTCCATTCTGTGCTGCTATATTTGTCGATGAAAAGTGGCATTTCATTCGTATAATTTATCGTGTGTTTTATATTTTTCTTAGAACATTCAACGGAACGTATTTGAACCTATTATTATATTACACTTTTTGCATCCTTTCATTCATGGAAGTGTAACTTAAATAAAACGCCGCCGAGTACTCTACTTAACGAGTTTCATACATAAACTGTGTATAACTATTGAGAAAAATAAGATATTGCACATAATTTCTAAGGATATTTCAATTAGACAGGCGAATCGCACAATTCAGAAAACCTAAATCGTCAATTTATTTAGATAGAAATTATTTAGATGAAAAACATAGAAAATTAAAAAGTTGCACGGTTCGTTACACATATTTTAAAATGAGATCTTTTTAATTAAATAAATCTTTAATAGTTCCGATACTTCGAAATTTTATGGAATTTTGTGCGTTTTCAATTTTTTAGCGTACAATGTGAGTTCTTTCTTTTCTTTTTTTCCCATTATGTCCCTTTCCGTTTCGTTGATTCTGTAATCTTTCCATTTCTGTAAAACATATTCGTATACATATTTCCACGTGAATTATTCATATTAATCCTTGAATATTGAAATTAACACGTGATAGAATTTTTTGAAAGGTCACCGGAGCTGATTAGAAATCTCAAGGATGCACCTGGAATTTAATCGCAGGGGTATTAGCGCTCTTGAAAAGCGGTCCGATTTTTGACACAAAGGGAATCGCTTGATCAAACGGATTAAAGCTCGAAACGTGAGATATGTAGATTATCGAACCGTGCATTTTGACAATAATTAAGCACCGCAGTTGAAAATTGGCAGTTTTAGCCTGACTCTTTTCTGGAGGCGACGAACTACGGAATTTTCAATTTTTAATCGAAACTATACCTGACACACACTTTTAGACTATTAAACTATACAATTGCGATACTCGATAACGAGCCTAATATTTTCATTATATGTTACAATATTTTAAAATAATAATTGAAATGATTAAAAATTAGAATTGTCATTTATTAGGTATATATTTTTGTTAAAATTTAATATCCTGCAATCGTTTTCAACTTAGAAAGCGAGAAATTCGCGAGAAATATTTCATTCATCTAGAATTTTCTATTCTTTTGCTAAAAGATTTTTTATTAATTAAATTCCAGGTCATTTCGGCATTAATCAACTCTCTTTGGAGTAGTAACGCAGCAATAGTTAGATTTTGTTAAATAGAAAGATTGAAAAGAGAGCACACTTTCTCACACAAATTTCTCTAACATCGCTATAAAAAATATGAATGATCGTCTAAATTTTTCAGTCAGACAATTGATCTTCGTTTGAGGATAGAATACTCGATAGCGATATTTCACCATTGGCGTTCATTGAATATTCAGAATATCATTTTCTTAAAAAGCTGCAGGAATTATAGATCGCTTGCTTGCTGAAGGATTTAACGCGCAATTCTGATGATCCAATCTGAGCGATATTAGTCACGCTTTAAGAATTGCAAAATGACGCGTAATGCGAGGAAATGTTCCAAAGAAACAATCTAAGGATTCAATTTGAAGTCTAAAAGTTGAAATTAAAATCTAACAATTTTCTCCGGAAAGATCGTAGAACAGTTCTTTCCTTTGAGAAAACCAAGGTTTACACATACGAAAATTTTGTCAGAATTAAATAGCTAATTTGTTTTTACAAATTTCATTTCTTTTCTAATATTTACATCTATTTCCACGACGAATTTATTTAAAAATCGACAATTCATTCTTCATAGTCAAACCTAGTATGCTCTATTGTTTCCCACTTGAAGGAAACTTTGCCGATTATTTCGTGAAAAGAACTTTCACATTTAAAATGAAATCGTCGGATAAATGGGATAAAAAAGGAAAAACTGCGATCGATTTCTTAGACAGTACTCGATATGTGAATCGCTCTATTGTTTTCCACTGGAAGTAGTTCTCAACTCCATTTACTGTCAAGCTTTGTTTGCTCTCGCGGAGCTGCGAAACTTATCAAAATCGCGGCGAGCCTCTTAATTTCACACTGTAAAGCGTCCAACTTAATTTCTCCTCTCCAGTTCATCTCGAAAGTTTCCAAGCCCCTTGGCGAGTATCTCCATCTGTTTCTTTTTCTTTTTTATTCAGTATTTTCATTTGTTGTTCGTTTTCCTCGTGAAAGTACGTAGACAAGTAAATGTCTTTCTGTTTTTTGTATACTTCGTACTTCGGTGCCGTAACTTTCTTGACAAACTACTCGAGAGAAGTTCATTTTTATTGTCAGATGTAGCGTTAGAAAATATTTTTAGCGATCGAGGATTTGTGTATCTAGTCGTCTGGAAAATGCGTGCCGATTTTTAAGTTAAAAAATACAGAATATAGAAATTTCCTTAATTTTTGTTTCGGTTCATTTTAATAATAAACTAAATAAAGAATACTATGAAATTTTTCACTTATGTTACAATTGCCCAGTTTCAAAATCACAGATTCTTTTTTAGACATTTTAACACATTTGTATTAGGTTTGCAACTGAATTCATTAATTTACGTTTTGCAACTTCTGTTTTTAGTCGTAGTAAACTTATTTGTCGATTATTTTTAGCGATCAATATATATCATTCGAAAGCTCTTAATTTTCTAATTATTTCGATAGATAAATTTCTGTCTCAATGTTAAGGTCGCGAACTTCATCACCAACCTAATATAACAATCGTTCGTTTAAAATTTTTTCTCGTTTGTAATTTCCCTGTTTGTTGCATCTGTCATAAAAAATATGTTTATTCATTGGACAATTAGCAAGAAGAGCAACGTAAATGGACATAATTAAAGCGAGTCTTGCTATGAACACCCCCGTTCCTTTTACGCTTCCGGCAACGGCGATTGCCATTAAAGAAGCGCCTTATTCTTGGGGGAAACTTATTAGTTTTCAAGGGTTGCGCATTGTCCTTTGCATTTACTACGATCTGTGCATGACACGTGCCAAAATTCATTTGCGTTTCGCCGTTCGCACGCGCGTTTTGAAAATTAATTAAAGCATCGCTTTTGAGAATCGTTGAATTTACGTTGGAAACGTTAAACGTGCTGCTATTCCCGTAAAATTATGGTATTAAAATTTTTTATTAAATTAGACGCCACTTGCAATTGCTCTTGATAAATAATTCTAAAGAAAATAAAAGATTAGCTTCTGTGCAAAGAGAAGTTCGGAAAATGTTTTAAATAAAGTTACCTGAATTTATTTCCGACACAAAACTAAAATTTATTTCTGAATTGTTGAATATTGTAATAAGCGTTCAGCTAATTTAATTTGCACCGAGAAATTTGAAAAATACGCTCCTGACAATTAAATCTTCTCTTCTTTCGATCAACTTCAAATATAACAAAACCGATTTGAGGGACATGATTCATCATTATAAAACCTTATTCAATATAATTTCATTAATCTGCACGTCGAAGTTTGTACATTTCTTCTAAAGCTGCTAAAGACTTTAAATATGCAAATTTTCGAATTGTGGCAATGCCACGTGAAAATTCAGATTCACAGTGTACTCCGCATTCACGCGACTATTCACAGGAGTACTTCAATATCCAAAGCACAAGAAGCAGTTAAGACGTACAAAGTGTATCGATGAGCAAGCCCACGTGTGATTTCTGACGAGAACACTCTTCGTGGCATCGCGTTCGCCCCTATCGTGGATCATTAATTTCCGTTTCGTGCAAAGGCTAGAGTCGAATGCACATTTGGAAACATTGAAAGAAAACGATCCTCACGGCGTGTCGCGTACGCCGAATCTCGAATAATAATTAGACCATCAAGAGTGGAGTCACAAACACTGCCGCTCGTAAATATCAGGACACCCGTTATGTTCGTGTAGAAAGTGTCAATTTAAATCTCACTTCTTCGCCAGATTCCGAAAAAATACACGATTTCCGGCTGAATAATTTTTCTTCGACCTTAACCCTTTAACGCTTAGATATTCCTCAAAGTTACTCTTCGGAAATGCACACATTTCTTTTTTGCATAATTTCGCATTCTGTGGACATTGCAACGTGTTTCCTGCATTTTTAGTGGTGCACCAAGGTACTTTTGCCGAAATAGAGATAGAACGTAACATGCATAAATCATTCTGTTTCGGGTACTAAAATTTAGCAAAATTTAGTAAAATTAATCAAAAAACTTGGTAAAATTTGGTGAAAAATTAGAATAAAAATGAAAATAACGAAATGAAACTCAAAATTATGGAAAAGAAGACACTGTAAGAAAGAGCGAAATATTACCGAGCGTTAGTCTCGGTGTCACATGTAACTTTCACGAAGAATTAGTGAAACAGGATTCAGGTCTGATATTGATACGAACCATCGCTTACAGTGTTCATATTTCATCCTAAAATTCGAAAAGACTTGATTGCCTTATTCCCCAAATTCGGTGGCTTATCAATGGTGTTCCAGGAAAGGAACGATAACGAAAGGTCACGTCTTTTGCCGGATCGTGTGCGAGGCTGGCACGCGGTGCTTTTTCTTTGCGAAATTTTCGCACGACCGAGCAACCATTGAACGTGCTGTCCCGCCCTTACTACGATGTGATCCATGACCAGGTCTCCCCAATTTCACATCATTTTTTCCCCCTTCGAAAACATTGCCGACAGTTTGCACTTGATAAGCTAAGAAA